CAGCTATCTGGCTATCCCTTAGCCCAGTTAAGTTGACACATAAAATTAATTATTGCAGAATGTTATTTGGATTCAGATTTAAATCAACGAAATGTGAGGAAAAAATAAGATTATTGGAGAAATTTGTGCATTGGCTGGATATTAATGTCAACAAGAAATTTTTCATTTTTGCAGGTGTGGTAATGGTACTGTGGGTTTTGTTGAATCTTTATCTTCTAAAAATACATCCTAAAATAGTTACAGAAAAAAAGATTTATAATCGGAAATCTGCTTCAAAGTTATCCAAGTGTTTGTTTTTAAAACAATTTTAAGGCATTGAAATAGGAAAAAAAATTGTTTTTGGAAAGTCATGTTTTTATCTAGACTTCTTGTAATTATATCTCTTTTCCACACCCGTAATTTTGATTGTCTCCTGTAAAATTATCTTTATCAAGTAAAGTCAACATAGAATCTCAGAATAATGATTTTTATAGTTGAAGTATCCTTCCAAACATTTCTTCAAGCAGACTTTTGCAGCATTTTGGGGTGACTGGATTTTCTGTTTGGAGGACTGAGCTGGATGAAGGAGGGAAGAGGGAGAATACCCTGTTACAGAGAAAGCAAAATACTGTAGAAGTGGATTGCTGACTATCTTGTTCCTTGAATGCATTTCAACACTGCACATTAGTAAGCATTATAAAGAATCAATGCAAACATTTAGCTTTCTCAATATTATAATCTGTAAATGAAATCCTTTAGATTTAAATTGTTTAATATAAAAGGTTATTTTACTTTTTTTCCCTCTTCTTGTATTTCTAAGGGCATACTATTCCATTTGCCTGTGTATTTAACTTCATTTAGCCTCTATCAAGGACCTGAAAAAAATGCTTACAAATAATCTATTTTGTCAGGGTGTGGTGGCTCACACCTCTAATTCTAGAATTTTGGGAGGCTGAGGTAGGTGGATTGCTTGAAGCCGACTTCAAGTCCAGCCTGGCCAAAATAGCGAACCACAAAAATTAGCTGGGCGTGGTGGTGCCCACTATAATCCCAGCTATTTGGGAGGCTGAGGCACGAGAATGCTTGAATCCAGGAGGTTGCAGTGAACCAAAATTAGGCCACTGCACTCCAGCCTGGACAATCAGAATGAGATCCCATCTCAAAAAAAAAAAAAAAAAAAAATGTGGAGTTAGAGCCCATAACTACCCCAGAATTCTATAAAGAGTTACACAATTTATTTTTGAATATTCATATTTCAACTCCCTTAAACAAGAATTTAAAAGAAAGTTTCATTCACATTTTCATCACAAATCTATAAAGAATTGTGGGTTTTGTGTTTTTTCTTTCTTAAGAATGAAACACAACTTAGATACCCAAATATGGGGTTTCCCTTACAGTGGTGTTGAAAGGTTTATTCATTAATTTAGTTGATGCTTTTAAGATTCAAAGTATTTTTAAATTCCAGCTGTTAAAAGAACAAACTTAGCAATATATAATAGTTTGCTACACAGGATTTTTGAATTTAAAAAAAAATGCCTATTATCCAGAAGACAGTTTTTCTAAATGATGCCAAATCCTCATCTTTTGAGAAAAGGTATGGCTTACAGTAAGTCATTATCATTCAAAGTATTAGGCAAGAGATCAAACTATCATTTTTCTTAATTATGAGTCATAACTCTAAACAGTAAGTGCATTTCCATATATGTCTCTGGAAGAGGAATTTCAGAAAACCTTTTGGGTTGAATAAATTCCAGACAAAAAATTGATCTTAATTTTACCTACCTACAACTTAAAGGAAAAACATATGTAAATAACTAACACTGAAAAGATCGCTTTTTATAACTCATTAGTGATTGGCATATTATTAGAATAAAGGTAAAATAGAAAAAAATGATCTCAGTTTTAGTCAACTACACCTATCTATTGAATACTTTTAAAACATTGAAAACACATAGAAAATCCTAAAGTTGTTGAAATTCACACCTAACCTTTTAAAAGTATTTATTTTCCATTTTCAGAAGAGCACACTTGAATATAATTTTAAAAGAGTGCTGTAAATTGAATTCCCAACAGGGACTGGAACATTTACAGATTAAAAGCATGTTAAAATTCCTGTGTGGCACACTCTACTTTCATAGGATGTGGAGAGGGAAAAAATGGTCAATTTGCAGTGGAGAATTTAAAGCTAATAGACTTCTAAAATACTTAAAAAAAATTTTCAAACTTGACTTAGGCTACATTAAACTATACTCCCCTACCAACTACCAGTCAAGGAGCTATCTAAAAAATATGGCTGCATGTCCAGTGACACATGGTGGCTGATGCCCATAATCCCAGAACTTTGGGAGGCCTAGGCAGGAGGATTATTTAAGCCCAGAGTTCAAGACCAGACTGGGCAACATAGTAAGACCCCATCTCTAAATAAATAGTAAACATATATAATATATATATGGTGGCAAAAAGTACCCAAAATCCTTAAATTCAATTGCAAAGTTACATTAAGTTTATATTCATATATTGCATTGTTTCTCAAACATATTATCAAGTTCTATCATTAAAATTTTTAATTGGCTTAGGGGCATACAACTCGCCTTCAATGGATATAATTTTATATGTTAATTATAATGCCAAGCATATCATTTAAATCTTTTAAATTGAATGCTCACCTTTAACACTTAAGATTTTAAAACTTTCTCTAAAAATACTTGCATTTTAAAACAAAATTTGTAAAAAAAATCCTATTTTAGCAGGCTTGATTATATCAACTGGTAAAACTTTATTTTACAAGCAATAGGAATTGGATCAAATGATTATTATAACCCAGAAGTATTTTGTAACCACAGCAAATGCCATTATACATACTGCTAATACAGATTTAATAGACAATACTGAACTGTACAAGAGTTATTTATTTTTCCTTAATCTCAAAGCTATTTTTAGTAATACAAAAAAGCCATATTAACATTTTTTTCTGTTAGAAAACATGATGTACAAAACTTTGGATGAAAAGATACGTCAAATTTCATTTAATCACTTGGAGGAAAACCCACCAACTCCATCAGTACCACCCAAAGTGTTTTAGGCAGTGAAGAAAATCAAAATAATGCATCTTAATAAATTCCAGCTGTTAAAAGAACAAACTTAGCAATATATAATAGTTTGCTACACAGGATTTTTGACTATTCACTTTGGGAGCTATTTTTAAAAATCCACTTTTTTACTGAGTCCTACTACATACCAGGCACTGTAGTTGGCCATCTAGGTAACTAAGAAAAAGTTGGTTAAGATAGGAAAGACCCATAAATCAGTCCTTTGGTTACCAAATTCAATGTTTAACTTTCAAACATCCTCCAAGATCAAGAAACCGTAACTAAAAATACACACCCTTCTAAGTGTTATTTGATTTTATTAGTAGCAAGGGTGTTTGGTAAGGTCATGAACCACTATTTTTGATCTATTATTCCAATTAAGAGTGTTTGTCAAAAGCGAATTTGTTATTTTTCTAATAAGATTAAGATTTGGCATTCAGTTGTTACACATGTGGTTCAATGATTTATCATGAGCCCTAAACTGCACACAGCTCAAAAAGAGCAAAAGAGATGTTCATTAAATGAAATAATGATTTTTGATACATATTTTAAAATTCAATTCAGTTTAGGATCCCGTGAAGAAAAAGACATCCAGTTATCGGGTGGTAAGGAGCAGAGGAGGTAAAATAGTAAAGATTATTAATATGCAGTGAAGTATTATTGTCTATCTTATCCTTTGAGTAACAAGATGCTAACACACTTCCAAAAAAAAAAAAAAAAAAAGTGCTTGAAACTATGCTAAAGGCCCATGAACTGACATCATCCATTCAACACCATTACTTTGTTACATAAACCTGTTTTCTTAAAATATAACATATTAAGCAATAATTTGGAAATTAGCCAAGCACTAAGCAATTACAATAGCAGGTAATACACCATCAGTTTTTGAAACACATTTGGCCACATTTCATGACCCATCTGCAATATGGACTCCATAGACTCTTACTCAGTTTAAAATTTGTTTCTGAACCTGAATGACAAGAAAATGGCTTCATGAAATTTTTTATAAGACATTTAAATAGTCTTAGGTTCACACCCATTTCGTTCTAAATGATTTAATCTGACATGCTATATAACTACAATAAAAATTATGTTCAATTCTTAAATGAAAACTAAAAGCCAATAAAGGGTAACAGATTTGTCATGGAATGTTGTAATATCTCCCTGAACGTAATTTGACACTGCGGATTATGAATTTCAGAGCTTGAAAGTTTCAGATTAAGAACCACAAGAAAATTTACTCTTGATGGCATGCAAGATCTTCCTAAAAATTAACCTAAGACCTAGAAGTCTCAGCATTATTAGAACATAAAGAAACACAACAAATTTGTACATTTTATTCACATTTATTTTTCGCTTTTAGTGTGCTCACAGAAAATTAGAACACCTTAAGCAGGAGTTTAATAGCAATTTTTGTAAGCAAAGTTACATTCCATCTCTAAGTCAAATTGGTCAAAGCTTCTCCAGTATTTACAAAACATGATAGACAAGATGCTACACAAAACCATTGCATCTGAAGATTTTTTTTCCTTTATTCTCAAAGACGACTGGAAAAGAAAGCATTATCTGCTGTAATCAAAAACATACCACAGTATAAACAGTAACCATTCCACTTATCACAGCTTTGTTGAGTTTAAAATTTGTGTTTAAAAGGTCCAAGATGACTGCAGTTTTACAAAAATGGGCAGGGTGGAAAGTTGCAAACTTCATGTGCTTCTGGATATCAAGATTTGTTTTTATACAATAGTCACAGTTAAAAACACCCTGCTGGTAATACATAATTACACTTTATTAAGGTCATAAACCAGCAATAAACAATAAAGCCTATACAACTTGTAGTTCTACGTAATCACTGACTGGTACAGCTAACATGAGATAAGTGAAAAGTTCCTATGGTTTAAATGAACTCCTAAGACTATGATCTTTTTTTTTAAATCTGGGTATTGGTGTTTTTTTTTTTTTTTCTTTTTCCTTCTTAGTCAAGACTTGTAGTGTTGTAAACCTGCCTCACAAAATACATGGTAATAACTTTTCTTTAAAAAAAAAAAAAAAAGACAGCCTTTACACCATTTCTAGTGGCACATTATTTTGGCAATGTTATGCACCACTCCGATTTCCCCATTGTGACCCCTATCACTTCATTTGATATCCCTTTTTGACCCACCCATCTCCTTCATATATGGGCATGTCCATAAATTGACAAAGAAAGTTTACATTTTTGAAGAAAGATGCAAAGTATGCAAAAACATTAATACTGATGCAAAAAAATAAAAAATAAAAGAGAAACAAGGCAGAGGAAGAAGGTGTTTAAGCTCTCCTCGACCTGTTGGAATGGTGGTTAACAGAATGATTTGAGATGGGATCTGTGGGGAGGGGAGAAAAAAACCAAAATTTGGTGCTTAAAAAAAAGTAAAACAAAAAAAGACATCTTTAAAATCAATCCCTGGTTGTAGACAAGTTCTCCAAAACCAGTACCTGGCACCACTCCAACAAACAAACGGGGGGAGAAAAGTTCTTCGATTATCTCACAAAAGCTTGCTCTTTTACTCTGCCGCCTCCGCTGGGGGAGCTTCTGGACTGCATTCGGGCTGGGCCTCCTGTGAGGGGGCTGCGCAGGCTGACGAGGCGGCGGCGCCCGCGGGTTCCTCCGCGGGGGCGGCCTCCTGCTCCGGGGGCGCGCCGGGCCCGGCGGCGGAGGGGGCCTCACAGGCGGCGGCGCTGGCCCCGGCCTCCTCGGCCTTCTTCTCCTCCGCCTTGCTGGGCTCCTCCGCGGCCTTGGTCTCCTCGCTGGCGGGCGGCTTCTCTGGCGCGACGGCGGCCTCTTCGGGCTTGGCTTCCTGCGGGTCGCCACCCGCCGCCCCCTCCTCGCCCGCGGCCGCCTCCTCGCCCGGCGCCGCTGCCTGCTCCCCGGAGGCTGCGCCCGCCTCGGCGGCGGCCGCTGTGGCGCCCCCGGCGGCCTCGTCCTTGACGCCTTCGGCAGCGGGCGCCTCCGCCTCACCGCCTTCTCCAGCCTCCTTCTTGTTTTTCTTGAAGGAGAAGCCGCTCAGCTTGAAAGACTTCTTGAAGGAAAAGCGCTTCTTTTTTTTTTTCGGGGTCTCGTTGCTGGGCGAGGGCGTGGCCCCGTCCTCGGCCTTGGGCGAAGACGTCGAGGAGGCGGCCGACGCGGCCTCCCCCTCCGCGGCCGAGGGCGAGCCCGGCTCGGCAGCCTCGCCCTCCGCGGGGGCCTCCTTCTCTACCGGGCTGGCCCCGGCCTCAGGGGCAGCGGCAGCCGGCTCATCTTTCTCCGCCGCGGCAGGCGACGCCGCCCCGCTCCCCGCGGCCGCGGGCTCCTCCTTGTCGGCGGCCGGGGCGCTGCCGTTGGCCTGCAGCTCCTCCTTGGCGCCCGACTCGGCGGCCGCGGGCGAAGCGTCGCCGTTTACCTTCACGTGGCCATTCTCCTAAGGGGCAGAGAAAGCGGGAGCGTCACTGAAGCGGCGGGGGCTGCCGCCATTCCCGCCCTCAGCCCTGGACCGGGAGTGCCCGCTTGCCCCTAAGGCCCCTGTGGCCACCGAGACCCCACCCCTGCTGTTACGGGGAGGTGCGGGTGGAGGCCCCGACGAGAGCCCCACGAACGAGGAAATGGGCACCGCTGTCCGGAGACCCCGAAAAGCACGACTGTAGCCCCCAAATACGGCAGTGGCCCCAGTCATTCAGCAAGTGCGCCCTAAAGACGAAGTCTGAAACGAACCAAGCAAAGGCTAACCTGCCAGCCCTCGCCTTATGGGGGGTTCAGTGGAAAAAAGGTGCCAAAGAATACTGGGCACAGCAAACACTCTTTGGAAGAAGGTACAGAGCCAGAGCTAGTGTTCCGCGCTTACGTTACACATCCCTCTTTTGCCCTAAATACATAAAGGCCTCTTCAAAATACCAGGAATTCCCAGGGGGACCACAGCACTCGAGCCAGAGAGCCAGAAGCGCCCGAGCTGGGCGCTCCGAAGCCCTGCGCCCGCCCGCGGCCTTGGGACCGGCAGGGGGCGCTGTGCCTCCACCGCGCCGCTCTGAGTGCAGGTGGGCGGGGAGGGGCGGAGTCGCCGGGCCACCCCGCCCTGCCTGGCCAGGCCCTGCCCGCGGGCCGAGGCGCCCCCGAGCCCGGATCGCTCAGCCCAACAGCCCGCAAACAAAGCTCAGGTGGCTTCCTGGCCTCCCGGTCGGTCTGAAACCGACCAGCCAGGGGGAAACCCATTATTTCTGAGGTCTCGCTTCTACTTCCACGCCCACCTTCGCCTGTGATTCTGCGAAGCCTGGGCTCGCCTCGGCGGCTCATTTTGCATTTTTAACGGGTTTAAAGCCTTGGCAGACCTCGCTTTCCCCAGTAGTTTAGAGCAGACGAAGCGACACGATCTCTTCTCTAGGAAAAGAGGCGTGGTGGGTGCCCAGTGTTTGCGAAGCAGCCACCCATGGCCAACCTCTCGCGTCCACCCAACCGTGGCGATCTGCCTGGGTCTGGGCAGCACCGGGCGGCCCCCCGCGGGTGGTCGAGGCGCCACGCACACGAGCAATCCCGACCGAAATGCACGAACCGCCTCTTTTTGACCATCTGGAAAGGCTCTTAAAGGACCCACCGAGTGTTCCCACCCTACAGATACCATTTAAAAATAAAATGGGTGTGTAATTCCACAGACAGCTACATATAAAGATTCAGGACAGTGGGAAAGCCCCATCGAAAGGTACCGAAGCCCTCTGTCCAGGCCCAGCCAGTCACCTTTCCAAGAACTCAGGGCACGCCGCCGCGACATACAATAAGACAGCTCTTCCCTCCTCGCCTTTCTCCACCACCATCCCCGTTGCGTCCCCCTCCCCGGACTCCCCCCCACACACACACACAATCACACCACCAGTTCAGAAATCTCAAAGACGACCCAGCCTCGACAACAAACACGAGAGCTACTCAAACACCATTGTGCCCCCAAACACAAATGCAACCTGGCTGGGGTGGTGGGGAGGGCACCTAGCTAGTCACGTTCTGCCAATCTCCAAACCACGCCATTTTAGACGATTTATCACTCCTTTCCTCCAGTCTACTCAAGAATTCTCCAGGATTCTAAGGAACCACTCCTTTAGTGTGGGGGGAGACCCCTGCTATGAAAAATCCCAAATTTAGGCTATCCATTTCTATTCAACTTTCACACTAGAATCGGCTACACTCCTGTCCACGAATGCGCCTTGAGAGCCACCAGGAGGGAAGGAGAAGCATAGAGACTAGAGAAAGACACCAAAGAAATGACACAACCACAGGTAGAATTTACCTGCCCGTTCGCTTTGGAAGGCGACGAGGCCACAGCCGCCTCCCCGGGCCTCTCCGCGGCGGCTTCTCCCTTCGCTGCGGTCTTGGAGAACTGGGCACCCATGCTGGCTTCTTCAACAAAGAAACTCAACAGATCCAAGAGGGGAAACAAAGAGCCTTGGGTTGGTGTAACGACGGGGCGAGCAGCAGCACCAGCAGCAGCGGCGGCAACAGCGGCAACGGCACACACACCGGAGGGAGGGGGGTGGGGGTGGTGGAGAGGACAGAACAGACCGATTAAATACACTCCGGTTAAAAAAATTTTAGTCGAAGAGATCAAAAAGCAGCAGCACAGGAGGGAGGGAAAAGGGTGGAAAAGTCGAGCACAAAAACAGGAGCCCAAGTGTAGTTCGAAAAAAAAAAGAAGTAATAAAAAAATCCCAGATTTGTAGCCGCACTGTAGACAAGAGGAAAATGGAGAAATCTCCCTGGTTGCTAATAAGATGCGGGGTCCAACGCCCAAGTGCACAGATGAATGGGCTCGCGGGCGCTGACGCGGCCCCCGCGCCCGTCGGCCAATCCGCGCGCCGCACACAAAGCAGGGGGCGGGGCCTGCGCGCCCGGCGAACAATGGAGCCGCGCTTTGCAAACGGTTTGAAAATCAGCCTCAGAACGAGAATTAATGTCCTCTAAATAAATAAATCAATTAAAAAATACATGCCACTCGCCTCCCTCTGCTTGAAAATTATAATGCATTTCTTGATTGGCTTGCTTTGTTTGGAATTAATTAACGCGGGAGGGGGGTAGTTGTGCAAAGGGGCGGAGAAAACGTTAACTTGACTCGCATTGACTCTCGTCGGTCTGTATCTGTGTGTCTCTCTCCACTCGTTCCCCTCCCCCATCTTTGTTGATTGTTTATGTGTATGTGTGTGTATGCGAGTGTTAAAGACAATGGTTGCGATTTGTGTGTTTGTAGCATGTTTGCTTTCTTTCTTTTTTCATATTGGTTTCACAGATAATGCGCAGGGTTTGTTTTTTCAACTGCTGCAATGGTTAAATCGTCCCAAATTGAAAGGTATTTAAATCACGAAGATCGAATTTCATCAAGCGAGATTGCAACTTAGAATTAGGTCTGTAGGCCAGATGTGGAAAATGCAAAAGCGGCAAACAGCGAAGCCACACTCCCTTCCCTCTCCCACACTGGCATGAAATAAAATATTTTGAGATTGGCCTTGGGCGCTCACCAAATTCCCCCTTCTCTGGCTATTCCCAATTAGTGATTTTTTTCCTCCACAATTCAAAGTGAGAGCCATTTACAGAAGATCGAAACTTCGCTTTTTATCACTGTTCGAAATGACATAATTTTCCTCTATGGTGAAATGAGACACAGCCTCGAGTAGACGAATCCATATTTACAGTTGGGATGTTATTCGCGTCAATATGGATCGTTTTCAGCCTACTGCCAGAATCGGATGGACCCTTTTTGAACGTGTGAGTGTGTGAGTGCGCACGCAGGCGAATGTACTCCTGGAAGGAAGGGAGGCAGCAACGATGACATTCTAAACCGGATTACAGTTCTAAGGAGAAATGTTCTTCATGTTGAGATATAGCAAGATCCCTGAGCGCTCCAAGTCTAACTTGGGTTAGAGGAAAAGCTTCTATAATGGTACACAGGATACCTCCATCTGTCACTGCACTCCTTGCCACCGAAGTACCAGACGCTATTTGTGCGTGAGAGACAAGGCACTGACTTAAAGTATGGGAGGTGAAGGGGACCAAGGAAGCAGCTTAATAAGCATTCCACTAACACCCACATTTTTCTTCCCAAAGTTTTCACTCGTGGCAAAATCAGACCACCTTCTCTCTTTTACATTTGGTGAGCCTGCAAGGAATAATCTTTCGCTTATGAAGGTGAGAAGCAGTCGAGGGAATGGTTCATTTCTCCTTGTGCTGGCTCTGAATTCTCAAACAGTTTTATTTTCTGCTCATTGCAGGGAAATAGGTCACATTCTGAGTGACAAAGACGGTTGGTTCAAGCCAGTAACTCTTTGTTCAAGCGTTGCTTTGAAAATCACCAAGCCGAACATCGTTACGTGAAGCTTCGTCTTCTCACTGTCCAGTTCCTTGAGATGCATTATTCGACCACGGTCGTATTCCCCAGAGCTGATGTAAAGACGTTTCCGTAGAAGTGCATCTTGCCAACAAACGTGTTATTACCCTTAAGGGAGCCCGCTGGCCTGGCCCACGACCCCAGCCGCCAGGATGGATGCGAATCCCTTGTATTAGCAGTTCCAACTTGAAAAGCCAACTGGGCTGATCCGATACCACCATTCAGGCGATTCCCAAAAGCTCTTAATTTCCCCCCACCCCCAACGTAAATCATACCCCTTCCTCTGCATCCCCCTTCTATTTTAAATTGGGGTGACTGCTAGCTCGCTTTCGGGTTTTCTCCCGGACGCGTCCTTAGCCCTCCATTTGGGGGCTGCTTTTATTGCTCCTTTGTTACCAGGCTGCCGTGTAGCTTCCCCCCTTTTCTTTCTCGTACGCCTATTTGCCTGGTATCGGCTGGTCTCCCTGGCAACGGCCGGGGAAGATTCGGAGCCTGGGGCCGGGGGAGGGGGAAGAGGCGGAGCCGGCGCTGGGGGTGGCGGTGAGGGAGACGGGGGCTGTGAGTGGCGGAGGGGAGAGGGGCCGAGTGAGAGACTGGGAGACAGACTGCGAAGCAGATGGCCGCGCGAGGGGGCGGGGTGCGGGCGGGGCGGGGGGACAGCCCCAGCGTCAGGGGCTCTAGGGAGCCAATCAATTCCCGCAGCAGCTCCTGGGCAAAAGAAAAAAAAAAAAAGAAAAAAGAAAAAAGTGTAAACACATAGATTTCCTCCCCCAAAGCGGTCTCGGCCTCTAGTTTACGGTAGAAAAGATGACTTCTTTTTGATACGCAAGCGCATTTCTAGGGTAGCTGGAAAGCCGACGGTCCCCAGCAAGTGGTAGGCAGGGGCTCCTTTGAGGGCGCTGCGGGCGGCGGCTGAGGGCTGGGCCATCCTTTCCCCAACCTCCCCCATCGACTAGCGTCGTCCCAGCAAGGGATTTCTTCAGCTTATGGGGAAGGGGGTGCAGGTGGAGGATGGGTGAGGAAGAAAGGGCTGGGAAACGGGAAACGGTTGTTCTTCTTGCAAAACTACGTAATGACAGGGAAAGAAGGCCAAGAACGTGGAATTGCTAGAGAAGCAGCACAGTGCAAGTGTGGCTCCTCAGGAGTTTGGTGTGCTCACACGCAGAGTTAAAGGTTTCAAATAAAGCGCCAAAAGTGTTTCTATAAATATGACTAAAGAACCCAAGAGGCCACCAACTCCCCAGGAAGAAACGGCCATTTATTCTTTATGTGTACTTCCCTTTCACCCTGCCCTAACATATTTGCAAGATAATAATCTGTGTATACGTTTCTTTAGAAAAAAAGGGCAATTTATTTAAGAGACCTGTTATTTTTCTGCAAAATGTTAGCGTTGGAAAGAATTTTAGAGTTCATTCCACAAAATCTTGAGGGCCCAATGTGCCAAACCCAATAATCTAGACCTTGTTTTCATATCATGGAACAAGACAAACTCAGTCTCTGACCTCGGGAGGATCCATTTTAAAGATCACCTAGTGAAGTTGAACTGGAGCACCTGGCTTCCCCCTCTCAATAGATGAAGAAGTAGGCACAGGAGAGTTGCCAAATTTCTCAGATGGTAGAGCCAGGAATAGAGCTCAGTCCCCTTGATGATTATGAGACCTGGCTTTTTCCACCACTGCCGGTGCTGCCATCTTCCCTTGATGGCACTCAGGAGGTCAGTCATTCATTCCTAAAGTATTTATTAAGATCCTCCTAAGCGCGAGGAGGAAGGCTTTAGACATCAGCTCACACCAGGGACAAATATGGACATGGTCTTTCCTCTCACAGAGCTTACATTTGTATTATTATTTCTTAAAACTTCTTAACATGTGAAGAAAGAAAGCAAAAGCAAGATTAACTGTGTGCTTAAAAAACAATACAGAAGATGACGGCCACTTTGTAGATTCCAAATTAAATATGCCTTTATCATCTGGAAGCATTCATGCATTCATAACATATGCAATCCCACTGTGCTGGCAGTGTTCTGCTCCATCCTTCATCTTAGATTTTATGCTACCTGAAATTTAATTCCCCAGAAATTGATTAGCTTGCAGTGTGGTGGGGAGCAAAACAGACACAGCCCCTCAATTCACTGGGCAAGTATTTATTGAACTTCTATCATGTAGAAGGCATTTGGGATATATCACTGAACAAAACAGACAAGAAATCTTTATAAAGCATACATTCTTGGGTAGGGAGAAGAGCACAAGTTAAAAAACATAAGTCAGCAAATTATATGACATGTTAGAAGTCTATAAGTTTTGTGGGAGGGGCAGAGTGGTGGGGAAAACCAAAGTAAGATAAGGGAGATGGGAGTTCAGGGGAGAGTTGAGTTTAATTCCATACAGGCCGGGCAAGGCCTCACTGAAAAGATAAACTTTGAGCAGATTTGAAGAGATAAGGGAATTAATAATGCAAAAGGCCCACTGAAATGCTTCTAGCCTAATGAGAGAGGGAAGAAGCCAGCATTTAACAAGAAGATCACAAATTAAAATACAACTTTAAATAGCCATGGTCACATGTAACTCTGAAAGAAAATAGGGAGTACATGTGACAATTTAAAGTTCCATTTTGTGCCATAAGATAGTATAATTTGGTTAAGAGGGTTAAAGAGACCTTTTGAGATAAGTGACATTTAAGTGGAAACCTAAAAGATGAGTAGGCATTAGCCAGGTAAAGAGGTGAAGAGCTGTGTTCAGATGTGTTCAGATGGAAGAACTAGCAAAGCCCAAGAGGAGGAAGAGTTCAGCATGGATTTGGGAGGAAGGTAGAGAGATCAGTTAGAACATATTTTCAGGGTCCTATAAAACGTCCTAGTAGAAGAGTGAAGTTCACAGATATGAGTCTGGAGTTCGAACTATGGTTTTGAATGTAAATATAGATTTGTGATCATTCCACATGAAAATATTTTCAGAAGCCAAGTCAAAGGAAAATGCAAAAGATAAGAGATTACAGAATGATGCCCTGAGTAATTTCTGCTGAAAAGGAGCCAAGATGGCAAAGAAGACAGCGAAGAAACTCTCAAAGAGTAGACAGAAAGCCAGGAGAGTGTGATGTCAGGAAAATCAACAAACACAGTGTTTCAAGCAGGAGTGGTGAGTTTTGTCAAATGCTGTTGAGTGGTCAAATGAAATACTGAAGAGTTTCCATTGCATGTTGCAGAACAGAAACTACTGGTTACAGGCTACAGAGCAGTTTTTGTAGTATGTTGAGAGTGAAAGCTGCATTTAGTGTGTTGAGGACAAAATGGAAGATGACGGCATAGGACCTAACCTCTTTATGAAGCTGGACTCGGTAAAGGGTTAGGGAGACAAGGCAGTAGCTAGAGAGGGCTAGTACAGGTTGAGCATCCCTGATGAGAAAATCTGAAATCCAAAATGTACCAAAATCTGAAACTTTTTGAGTGCCAATATGACACTATAAGTGGAAAATTCCACAC